CGAGGTGGAGCGCATCTGGGCGACCACCGGCTGCCCCCGTTCCGCCACGACCCGCTGTCCCTGCGTACCTTGAACGGTGCCACCTGCAACGATTTTTTGCGGCGGCAAAGCGGGAGTAGGGGGGAGGGAGAAGCAGAAGGAGATTCAGTACAGGGGACAAAGGCGCTTTCACGCACCACCAACGTCCAGCCTAAAATGGGTGGGGGAGCGGGCGGGGAAGAGAACGGCGAACACGGTGAGATGTCCTCACATGCAAAATGTACCGGCGCAGCTGCACAGCTGGGGCCATCGCTTTATAAAAGTCTAGAATACAGCCTTCTCGTCTTGAGCCTCGAGAAAAAAAAACTCCACACAGGGGCCACTGTAGTAGTAGCAGCAGCAGCAGCAGCAGCAGCAGCAGCACCGCGACAAGCTTCTCCTTCCCACACATCAATCCCATGTGTGTGCTGCGCAAAAATCATGTGTATCAGCATGCGAAACTGCTCTCGAAGCAACGTGTGTGCATGCTGCCGACATGAACAAGGATCCCAAACAGTAGCTAGCGTACACGACAGCAATTGCGCGTTCATGTAACAGTGGTCCTCTGCGGAGACCACCCGCTGCGGGAAAACTCGATTTTTTAATACAGCAGCCGCAAAACTCTGCCTATTTATCACGTTGTGCACAGCAGCTCACATGTAGAAACAAGCTCACAATCCGTCACACAGCAGCTACTGCCGACACCACACCACTACCCTGTGTTGCTCACCTGACTCGTCCGTGTTCCAGACATGGTCGGCCGCCGGCTGGTGCTCGTCGAGGAACTAGCCCCAGAAGTCGTAGAACTTGTGCAGACGTTCATCTTCCGCGGAGGTCACCCTCTTGGACTCGTAGATACGGGCGAGTCGAAGGCCGATGCGCTCGTGCCGTCCGAGGAAGCCCTCAAGCCAGCTCCTCCCCGGGCCCTTGTCAGGGGTCCATGGGATCGGTCGACCGTCGTTGAAGAGCTGTCTCACACGCTCCGTGAGGTCTGCGGTGGTGAGCGGAATAGTCTATAGTTCCGACCAGTGAACAGCAGAACATCTTCAAGCGCATCCTCCTCTGCTGCGGTCATGACAGCCCCGGGGCCCACCCGCGCATCCATGGCACACTCACCGCTCAGCCGCCGCGAGAGCGACGTCTTGTTGACCCCGTAGGCAGCAGCAGCAGCGTTGCGTGACATGCTACCGGTGCGGACCGCTTCACAGGCCTTCGCAGCAGCCTCCGCGTTCACTCTACACCGACCCATGCTTAGCAGCAGGAGGCCAACGAGGGCGAAGATGCGCCGCATCGAGACTGCTGGTGGGCGCGTTGCTGTAGCTCGGGGCTGCGTGCGCCGATCGGCACGCTGAAGTGCTCAAACAAGAGCTAAGGGAGAGCTGATGAAAAAAAAAAAAAGGGGGCGGGCGGCGAAATGTGCGCCCCGTATACCCGTTAAAAAAAAGTGGTCCTTAATGGGGGCGTGGTCCTTAATAGGCACATTTACTCTGCTCCCTCTTGGTCCCTCACCGCCGGTGCTGTTTCAGCACATCTGGCCTCTTAACCTTGCCAGGTATCGTTCATCGTCTGCCTTGTAGCTGTGTATGCTTTGAGGTGATCAGTCTTGTTGTCGTGAGCTTTGTACTTGTCTTCCACGCACCTTCTCTGCTACCTTTTTGGCCACCTGGTACACCATTCGGGCTTTATCTAATTTCTCCTTGGCCTCTTCCTCCTCCTTTTCTGCTGACTGAACTCGGCCTACCGCGATTTTTTCCTCCACTGCAAGAACATCATGCCTTTCTTCGAATTCGGCCGCAATCCTGTCTTTCTCCTTTTTATATATCTCCCTAGCCGCGCGCGCTAGCCTATCTTCTTCCTTAACTTGGTGCAAACGGTTACTCGATTCCAAGAACCGAGCCTGTGTCTCTGCTGCCGTGCGTGCCGCCTTTTGGTATTCAGTCAAAGGGACCTGCTGGGGCGGTGCGAGAAAAGTTCTTGCGCCCGTGATTTCCTCGGTTTTTGACGCGCGACCGTGACCCAAGGGGTCGAAGACTCTGACTGTGTGGGCGACTGCAAAGCCTAAAACCGATTAGACGACTGCAAGGGTGGCCATTCTTTGTCAAGGCCTCCTGCCCTCTTTTCCTCTTCGGTTTCTGTTGGAGACACTACCTCTTCCTTCTCAAATCCACTGCTGTTGTTGTCTTGTGGTTCAAGAGCAACAACAAATCCATCTCTATCTTAGAAATAAGTCTATAGATTAGCAATGAATCCATAGCGTGAGCGAAAGGCTACCTGTATGTCTACGGTTTCCCAGACAGCATACAACGATATCTCCCCTGTGGGTAACAGGCTCAACAAGGCAGTTTGGTAGCCATCTTGTGTATCTATGTGTATGTTATGTTGGGAAGTTGTAGACGGAAGATTTAGGGGAACTGGGTTTGTCGGGTGTTCTATTCTGGCACCCTTAAGTGTTTGCTGAGCAAGCGCGTCTCGGGGTGTGTATATTTTCGTCATCAACTTATTTTTTGTGTGTGACGTATGGGGGCATGTGCGGGGAGGGAGAACATATTCACCTTGTTGTTCGTTCGTTCCTTCGATCGTTTTTCTCCCATCATTGGACTCTGTCGTCTACCTCTCTGGCCCCTATCCTCCACTTCTACCAGCCAGACGACCCAACCGGGGTCACATACGAGGGGGGGGTTGGACCCCCTCCTGCGGTTCCTGCCTGAGATATTTTATCGCGAGAAGGGTACAGCAATCCCTTCCCTCACGACTTGCGAAGTCGATCAAGTTTACTAACCACGAGCTTTGCAGCGCGTCGGTTCCAACAGAGACCAGGATTTAATAAGCGAGAAAAACTCACTCTGTCGGGACTCGAACCCATGACCTGGCCCTTAGCAGGCTGCGAGGTTACCCACTAGACCACCGGGGCGACCGGCCGTTGTGTAATGGCATGTCGTTAAATGTGAGAAGGGCACGGGAGAACACTATCTCATCATTGCCTCCTGACGTGGCCGCCGATAAAGGCGTGTGGTTGGGGTTTCATCACTGACATGTGGGTGTGTGTTAAATGCAGTGAGTATGGTCGCCTCTCTCGCCCGTGTGTCGGCTTTCTCTCCTCCTTCTGTTTCCTTTCTTTTTCTATGCTCTTTCTTTCAGTCGCTTCTGCCACCTCCTGTTCCTGCATATCCATGGCCAACCCCTCATCATCGAGTTCTTGTTGCAATTGCTCTGAAGTCTTTCTACGGTAAAGGTACTCCATGTTTTCGTCAGGTCTCGGGGCAGCACGTGCTCCTTTTTGCATCTCAATTCGTTCCCCTCTGGTGGGCATCCCNAGTATGGTCGCCTCTCTCGCCCGTGTGTCGGCTTTCTCTCCTCCTTCTGTTTCCTTTCTTTTTCTATGCTCTTTCTTTCAGTCGCTTCTGCCACCTCCTGTTCCTGCATATCCATGGCCAACCCCTCATCATCGAGTTCTTGTTGCAATTGCTCTGAAGT